GCTTCTTTCAAGGGAAATTATGATTGCAGAAATAGATGATGCTATAAACTACCTAAAGAGCGGAAAAGCTCCAGGAGAAGATGGAATACCCCCGGAGTTCCTGAACTGTTCCAGTGACGTGCTCATATATTATCTTCATGTTTTATTTAATAAAAACTGGAAACTGGAAACTTTCCTACAGCTTGGAATATAGGTATGATTGTTCCACTCCATACGTCAGGAGATAAGGCTGACCCTAATAATTACCGGGGGATTATATTGAACGTTATGGGGAAAATATTTTACAACAGTCTTAGAAAAACGTTTGAGGGCTTGGATAGATCTGAACGACTTAATATCCGAAGCCAAAGCTGGCTTTAGGTCTAGTTACTCTACCACTGACAATATATTCACCCTACAAGCATTGATCTCTAAATATTTGTGCACAGCACGTGGTAGGTTTTACTGTCTATTTATTGACTTTAAGAAGGTATTTGACTGTGTAGACAGAAACAAGTTATTATTGAAATTATCACTAAAGGGTTGTCATGGGAAAATGTTTAATATACTTAAGAATATGTATTCATCAGTTAAATCATGTGTGAGACCAAAATCAACAAGAACGAGTAACTTGACCACATCGGCAGGTGTTCGACAAGGATGTGTTCTTAGTCCTATACTTTTCACCATTTTCATAAATGAGCTTGTGACTGAAATGTATGATAAATGTGATCACGGTATATTTGTTACACAAAAATATTTATGATATAATGCTACTTTCGTTTGCCGATGATGTTACACTGTTCTCTTATACTGTTTCTGGGTTGCAAAAGCAATTAAATGTGCTCCAATCTTTCTGTGAAAGATGGAGATTTCAAGTCAACTTAGATCAAACCAATGTTATTGTATTAAGAAACGGGGGCATTGTTGCTAAACGTGAAAGATGGGTTCTAAACAACATAAATCTAAAAATTATACCATATTATAAGTATCTAGGTATTCTATTTTTGTCTAGGTATTCTAAATCTAGGTATTCTAAATTGGGCAAAAGCATGCCAAACGCTAGCAGCTCAAGCTTCACGTGCAATGATGCATCTATTTACATTATTTCGAAAAAATAGTTGCATATCCTTTCTAGCGGCTTGTAAAATATTTGACAGCAGAGTGTCACCAATTTTACTGCATGGGTCTGAAATATGGGGGACAAAATACTTTGAAGTTATAGAAAAAGTTCACACACAGTATCTAAACAAATTCGCACCCAATAAGGCTATAGTTGGCGAAACAGGGCGCCACACGATGTTTGTTTCAACACAGATAAGGGTTATAAAATACTGGATAAAAATATGAATTGTTCTAGATATCCATACCAATGCTATATAATGTTGACAAAATTAGATGATGCTGGAATGCAAAACTGGGTGTCAAATCTCCGAAATTTGCTATTTTACACAGGTTTTACCCACGTTTGGTCATCTCAAAGTGTGGGTGATTCTATATTGTTTACAACTATATTCAAACAACGGTTGAAAGATATTGATTGCCAAAATTGGCATAGTTTTATATCATCTTCGCACTTTTTATGTAATTATAGTAGCATTAAGACTTTGTTGCAGCCTGAAAAATATTTATTGTGTCTCTCGGATTTGTCTTTGCTAAGAGCCTTATGTAAATTTAGAATATCTCTTCATGATTTTAATATTACTCACCTACGTAGAAACAAAAATGAATATGTATATAAATCACTCTGTTTGCAATGTGATCTTAACGTTATAGAGGACGAGTTCCACGTCCTGTTTATTTGTAAAAAGTATCATGACCTGAGATTAAAATAACTCCCAAGCCTATCTAATATGAAGCACTATTCAGTGAAACTCTTTTGTAATATATCAAATACAAATAATGAGGATAATTTACGAGCACTCGCCATTTTTCTTAAAACTGTATTTCTATTGAGATGTAAATGGAAATAGAAATATTGCTGTATTGTTCACCACGTGACAAGTTCTATCAAATACAATTCTAGGCTATGAGTGAGTGAGTGAATATAGAATTTAACGTCACCTCGGCAATATTTCAGCCATATAGTGAAGAGAAATGTTTTACATAAACAATAAATTAAAGTTGCAAAATAATCAGTCATCGAAGGACTCTAGGCTATGAGGCCGAAATACTGAATAAATATATATCATATATCATACGATTCCGATTATATCACGTATGTGTTTACGAATCACTATCTAATAGAGATGATACCAGGTGTCCGTGAAAAGGTGGGTGTGTCCTCGCCCAGCGGTGGCACGGGAAGATATGGTACAAGTCAAAATAGTAAAATGCATCGGACATAATTTTTGTCACTTACGCGTCTAGTTTGGAAATGTACACAAAAACATTTTCAAAGCTATATTGAGACCTTGAATGTTGATAACTTTGATCGGACAACTTCATAAGAGTCATATGATGTTGGGAAATGTAAACACCAAAGGCTGTCAGTTCTAATCACCTTTATTACTAGACTTGACCGAGATTGTTTGGACCCAAAATACATCGAATGAGGATATCATCTCTCATTACTTGGTGATACTCCACAAATTTGATCGTTTCAGATAGTGCTATACCCACATCAAATAATGATGCGATCTGCTCCTTGACAGCGGCGGTAATAGCGTTCCCACTTCAGGCCGAAAACTTGAGTTCGATTCTCCACGTGGTATAGTGTATGGCGCCCATTTCTGGTGCCTCCCGCCGTGATATTGCTGGAATATTGCTAAAACCGGCGTAAAACCATACTCACACTCTCTGTCAATTTGCTTTGATTGCACGTGCGATCCAAGCTTCAACTAAGCCCACACAAACTACATTCATTTCCACATAATTCTAAATGATAATATGACGACGCTCGAAGTTGTTACAACATATACTAGCGGCTTCATTCAAAATACACGTTGCACCATATGTTAAGTGTACGTTTGGTGTTCATGTGTGCTCATGTTCGGCTCCATGGGCGTTTCCAAACAATTGTGACAATTGTGAAGAGCTTAAACACCTACGCACTTAAGCACGTATACAATCACACAAATAACACGTTTATACCAAAACCTTTGCACTTTCCTTTTCTGTTCAGTGACATTACCTGACATAGTAACGAGTTCGAACTGGTAACCTATCATCATAAGATAAGATAAAATATTATATAACTTTAATATCCCGGAGGAAATTCTTTGTGTATCAAAAACGGCAATGGCTATATGCAAAATTCACAAAAATATACACAATAATTACATGCACAAAATGAATGCTGATGATTCTATACAATTAACCACATAGGTAAAGAGGCTGAGTTAGTAGTTATCGCATGCATGATGTCTATTCAAAAACATTCGTTGCATTAAAAGCACGAATACTGGATGGTATGAATGACTGTCGAGCTCGGTTTGTTTTATGCGAAGGTAATCGAAAGCGGCGTCCAGATGGAAGTAGTTGAAAATGGTGATATAAAATATGTGAACTATCAATTCTAATTTTAGTTGCCTTTTTTCACAATCTGGGGCTCATAGATAAAGGAGATATACTCGAAAGACTCCAGTAATTTTGCTGGCAGTATTAACAATTTTGAAATGTTTGTTTTAGTTGCGAGCAGACAGACCCCCATACAAACATAAAAATCATCCTTATGCGTTAAGTTGCAAGAACAAGGGTAGGAGTTTGGTGAGGTAGAGGTAGGGAGAACACAGATATATGAGTATGCCAGTATGCCTATAACTCTTTTATATTTTCAATATCTTCAAATCTTCCATGTCAAGAATCCACATCACGCAAGTCACTATTACCTCCCCTTGTTGACTGTGATGATGAATGCCACTTACACATCATTCTTTTTGGAGTGTGTTCAAACTTCTCCTTTGTTTATGAGTCGACCTGATCGTTATCTTAGTTAACGTTGTATGTGACTGCGTATCAGTCGCATGCTGCCGAAACTAGCGACGTGGCGTTGCTTCTTGATGTATCATACAAACACCGTCTTGTCTCTGTTGTTCCGACCCGTGAAGATCCGTGTTGGAACTGATCTTCAGTAACCCATGCTTGTCGTAAGAGGCGACTAACGGGATCGGATGGTCAGGCTCGCTGACTTGGTTGACACATGTAATTGCATACCAATTGCGTATATCGATGCTCATGCTGTTGATCACTGGATTGTCTGGTCCAGACTCGATTACAAGCCGCCATACAGCTGGAATATTGCTGAGTGCAGCGTAAATCTAACTCACTCACTCACTCAATCTGTTGATCCATGCATGCTGTTTGTCACTGTCCTACTGCCTAGATGTTATTCGGCAATGCGCTGTTTCTTTTTATACCAATACTTGTTGGCATGCTGCAAGTGCAGCAAACGTTTTACTTAAGATGCAACTTTTATTGATTTGTGTAAGGTACCATGTACATTGCTTTACTTGTTTTGGTTATCAACATATATTGTCAACAATTTTGCAACAGTATTTAGAGTTTAAACATGTCAAAGTCTTATTCTTTTCAAAATAATTATAAGTTTTAACTGTATATGTTTCCTGTTCATTTGGGATTAGGAACCGGACATCCGATGTCCATTTTCGTTTGCATTTTTGAAAAGCAAATTTCTGCAAATCTATCGGTCAAGATCAATGTTTTTCACTTTGTGTTTCTAACCTTGGCTTACTGTGGAAGCTGGGCCACTGTTGCTGATTGGTTAATATCATTTCGCCGACTTCACTACTTTTACCACTGCTATTATATTTTATACGCCCGTTCTGGCATTGTGAATATCCTGCTCTAATTTGCATTAAACTGAAAATCTATTGTTTTTATGATTCAGTTGTTATTTGTATGATACAGATAGTTATATAATCTGTGTTGGTTTCAATCTTGTGGGCCTCCAGAATTCTTGGTTCCCTTAGTGTTCAACGTAAAATCGACGACTAAATCACACAATAGCATAGCAAAGACACTCGGACAAAATGATTTCATATCAATGTATTCTCATATATTTGATGTATTTTTGATAACTGTGAAAGGGTTATTTGTGATAGTTTGTATTACAGTGTGTATTAAAATGGAATACTGCGTTTGAGTACAATAAAGGCCAGATTGAAACACCAATGTTAGGCCTTATTGTTTGAACAGCAAAACGAGGATAGTCTTGTTAGTTGGTTGTTATCTTGTCGATTCATCCTGTAATCTTGCTGGCTTCTGGAATTTGCAGGACGCCATTCATCATCAGGCCGCAAGGCAAGACGTACACTCTGTCAACGAAAGCAATTTAACTTTTACAAAGATTTCTTCAGCACGCACTTCAAGATCAGTGCCAAACAGTACAGTCTACAATAATCCTGTCTAGATTCCATTTGCTAATGCATCGTAATGAATAACATCCTTTGAAATGTCACCAAAATCAATGTCGCACAATTCTTTAAGATGGAAGAAGCCCAATTACCTCCTTCAGAGAATTGGTCGCCATGTGCTTCCCGACAGTCATGACCATGTAGAACGGTATCGGTAGTAGGGGCAGCACTGCAATAATCCAGCCGATTGTCGAGGCGTAGCTAGGAAACACGTACGTGCCGTATGTTGGTGGCTGGTAGCGGAGAAGTGTCAGGATGAAAGTGATCTGGATACGAAACAAGATATGATAAGGGTAACATGTATACATATTGTGTTCATGGTGCTGTTATATTTCAGGATAAGTGTTCAATGCGTGATTCTTAAAGTTAATGTTACATCGACGTTTAAATTCATATTTCAACCATATGTTAACCTTCTTGATAAATAACTGACCCAGTTGGATGGAATTAAACTATAAGCGATAACCAAGATTAAAACTATGGAATTAAACTATAAGCGATAACCAAGATTAAAACTATGGCAAATGTGAAAGTATTTGTGTCGTTCCTTGATTTATGCGGTTACATTGATTTCACACGTCATTGCTGATAATATTCAAGGCGCACTCATATTTCAAAACATCTCTGTTATGTTTTTGATAAAACGAGAAGAGCTGAACCACATCTGAAAGTTGTGATGTTCGGCCATGCTTCTGCATACACTTTGGTTTTGGTGAACGTATGGTGCTTTCACTGATCCATCCAAATGTGTGATGATTGTCATAGATATTTTCCTCTTTACACCCAATTGAATCAGTTTCTGAGGATAGCAAAGACACTATGTTCTTTGGCACAAGCGTTGTCTACATGTATGTCATGTCTTCAGTTTGGAGACCGATGTGTAGATTTGTCTTTGGAACATCGCACTGAAGACATCAAACTATACGACGGTGGAAAGGTAATATCATGTGCAGCATCGTGTACCAGAGAAATTATATGCCGTCATTAAATTATTGTTCTCACGAGTAAGATTACCGGTGTAACCAGAGCCCGTAGGATTTTTACAGGCATCGGTAGTGGCTTGCCAATCATCATCTCAACGTCTTGACTGATCCGTCTCATTCCTGACAGAAATACATTGTGTGTTCACAAGTTATCCTGGGCTCTATGACCACTCCAACGGTTTTCAACATTGGCTTTTCTGTATTTATTTAACACAACACTCAGCTGTTGTCTAGCTACATGACAACAACGTGTACATAATACACAATTAGGACCAGACACCTTCTTTGAGTGGCATATTTAGAAGTTGGTGAATCAGATCAGAAGAACCTTTATTGATGAACAATTTCAATATTCAGGTGATGCAACGTTTCGATACAGACGCTTGAGAACGATACAATAACCTGTATCGAAACGTGACATGACCTATTCCAACCTGCAATTTCCAGGAGGAGGCGGGAATTGGTTGCTAGTGACCTATTGGGACATGAATCCCACAGGGAAGTTTGCTGTGAGACATATTCGAACCAGGGATCCAAACGAAGAGGCAAGTATCGGTTACTAGACACCAATTATAGCACAGATTCCATGCCAATGTACATAACCTACATACACTGTCAGAAATAAATAATGGATGGAAATAACTCATGAATAATCACGAATAAGGACAAGAAGCTGATTATTTAAATTTGCAACAGAACTTTTACATGCAGATTTGTTATTGTCATACACACCATAGATCCATGACACGGCGATACACTCAAGTGTACATATCACCATTGGTCCAAGGGAGAATACATACCAGTCTACCAGCTGAAACATGTACGGCCCTCCCTGCAATACACGACAGATCCATGGAGCTGTGAGGAAGTGTTATCTATTGTAGAAGAACATTGCCGATGGATAACTGTTTCTGTCTTTTGCAATTCCAGGTAAGCCTATTTCTAGCCTGAGTGAGTTTAGTTTTACGCCGACTCAGCAACATTCCAGCTATATGGCAGCGGTCTGTAAATAATCGAATCTGGACCACGCAATCCAGTGATCAACAGCTTGGGCATCGATCTGCGCAATTGGGAACCGATGACATGGTCAACCGAGTCAGCGACCCTGACCACCCGATCCCGTTAGTCGCCTCTTGCCACAAGCATGGGTTAATGAAGATCAATATTCTAACCCGGACCTTCACGGGTATTCTAGCTTGAAGGAATACGTGGTATTAAATACTACCACTGTTGCTATTACTACTGTCACTACTGCTTGCACTAATGTTATTGTACTACAATTTGATGTTTCACTTCCACAAATATACACTTTTGGTACAGGCTCCTATCCCGAACCCTCATAACACAAACTCACGATTTTCTCCACACTGACTTTGCAAGGGAATGCTTTATCCAGACATTTCTGCTACGTTAGGACACATACGTTCTCCTCTGTGTTCTTTGCTATTGTTATTCATAACAGAACTAGTAAACATCATCCTGGTTCTACAGAGCTACATAGATGTTTCATCAGACTCTTTAGAATACGATAATGACTTACCTTTTTGAGAATGAGAAGGATTGGGACAATATCACAAAATTGATTTTTTTTGTACTATGACATTCATGATCTGTACCTGACTTAGACAATGATCTGTACAAGTCATCCTGAATGTCAGAAAGCTTCAGAGAATACGATACGTACTTACTGGTTTGAGACATTATCACTAAATTGCAAATTTTGCTCTGCTTATTCTGATTGTGTCAGTAAATCTCATGACATTCTTTGACCACAAAGGTGTACTATGACACGATCTATACCTTACTAAGACTATGATCACCTGTGTGCAGAACATGATTCCCAGAAGAAACACCATAAGACAGTATCCTCCTGTAACCACCATCCTCCTCTTCCCTAACTGATGCGGATACTGATCAATAAGAGCAGTAATCACGACTTCAATTCCCAGGAACTAGAAAAAGAACATATTTAGCATGCTGATTACGACAGAAATGCACAAAAAACAGAGCCATAATTTGGTTACATTGAAAATATGATTCACGGACAAGATCCGAATGGTGAACAGTGGTACTGTGGAAGGTAAAAGGTACAAGATCAGTGTCACCTGCAATCAATGACGTGTATGTCCCGAACATTGAGAACTGCCTGGCACCTTCTGTCCGTCAAAGATTGAATTACGAGCTCGGACAATTGTCCACTAGGCTTGCAATGCTAATACCATCTGCAGGACATTCAGTTGTCTCCGTCATAGTCATCTATCCAACTCGTCCAACAAACGTGCTTTTGGGTGTCTTGCAATCTTAAAGGCCATGGAATAGCCAATCCCGTCTACTTCTTGCATCCAGGTATCCGTGACTCAGTCAAAATCTAGACTCGTCGATGAACCAGACATGTCTCCATGTCTGTTTAGGACCACAGTATAACCATCGAGGTTGCTGCAGACGATGTTGACGTGTCAAGAAGACACAAACAAAACCCTTGCCTCATACAGTTCAGTGCGTCTGTGGAGTGTTGCTCTCCGGTGAAAAATGTTCTTTTGGACATGTTTGGTCGATTGCAGCAAAGGGAATTTTATTGTCATCCAAATCCATATTTAATCCACCATATCAGATCAACCAGGTCCTTTACTCGGACTTCAATATCGGGTTTGGGGCATTTTGCTTTCCATAACTCGTCCCAAATCAAAATGTCTTGATGTGATGTTGCTGACGTAATGTTCAAAGCGTCCAGCTAATCTAATCTACTATTGAATATTGAGGCTTGAACACAGTGTGAATTTCTTTGCGTTTGTTTCTTAGCTTTTTACCATAGGGAGATGGTATATTTTCAAACTGACAACCTACACCTGCAAAACTGAAGTTGTAAAACTTTGCACATGTGTAACGTATCATGATTTCCGATTCTGGTTTAATGGACCGTGCACGACTGTCAAAGCATAGGTGAATATTGCGTTAAGAATGTACCAGATAATATTGACCTCGCAGTACCTGTGTGTCCAGTCCAACCATCAACAACATCAGAAAGAACAGGAATGACCACAGCTGAGGAAGTGGAAGTTTGGCCAGAGCTGCTGGATAGGTTACAAATCCCAAACCTGGACCTTTTAAAGGAAAGTGATATCCAAAGGCAAATATAATCTAACGTGAAATTGTCTAAATGACAAACATTGTAGCATTTGGGTATTCAAAACCAGAAGAAATATTCATGAAAAAAACAAAACTGATGCTGGTCTCCAGTTACCTACCATTTGACACAACAGTTTCGATGGAAACATCTACTTGCCATAAACCCGAGGGTAGCAACTGTCACGAGGCCAGAGAAGATACTGGTTCCTTCCGAGACTACTGTCAATATGAGGCAATCTCTGTGAATTCAATCATACACATTTTCAAAATTTCAAGTTCTACTTATCAGTATATCTCCAGGAAATGTAATTTGACATTATATCTTCCGATCACTAATTATCACTTCTTTCGTTTTTACATTAAATAGAGTATGACCCCAAAAACGAATTTCTAATGCTTCTAGCAGTTTTTTTAGAAGTTTTGTAAATCCAAGCTGAGTACAATAGGATTTCAAACAAGTAACCAGAAGTCTTTAAGTTTAAATCACAATCATGATCAAATTTGATTTTGGTCAAAAGAAATTCTGAAGCAGGATTCCATTCTTCGGCGGACAAATGTGTTTGGAGAAAAATGAGTAATATTTTCGAGAAAGAATAATCAAATGCAATTAAGTCATACTATTACCACCACGAGATTATTTGGAGCTACTTATATAGTTGCACGGATTTCCTTGATTACTCACCTGAGACATGGTTCATGGAAGTTGTTGTAGCTGGCAGCAGTGCCAATCATCCCACAACCAACACCCAGTGAATAGAACACTTGCAAACATGCTTCCAGCCACACCTGAATATATGAATTATACAGCTATTTATCATGGCATACTGATATGGCAAAAACTAGATTATAGAGGGTCATTTTAGAGTTAACAATGAAGGACGGATGACGTCCCCAATGATCGTTGTGTTATGCGTTACTGCGCCACTGTGATCACGAGTGTAAGTAAAATATGCCTGGATACGAATCTAAAATGATGCGGTTTAAGGATGTATCAGAAACAGATTACTGTATTCGGGTCCGTAGTGTACAATTGGTTTCGAAACTATTTAACTCGGTTTTGAACGTTATCACCACATTACAGTAACTATTTGCCGACGATGACGTTCCGGTAGTGTTCAGTGTCGTGACAATATATATGTTTAAGTGTATTTCACAGCTATTAAAAACCACGTTCATTGTCTCTTGATATATCCAAACAGATATCACCTAGAATTTGAATGTGGATACATGGTGATGGTCATGTGGAGGTTGTTAATGAAATTATCTTCTATAGTAATTAATCGTCATTGTGTTTTTCTCAGAGTCACGGGTAAGCATACACCAAAAAAGACCTAGAACGTATCACCACGTACATAACATCTTTCCTGTATGATTATTATTTATTGTAATTTAATGTGTCGGGACATTATGGGACCAAAATCTATGGTATACAGTTCCGTTACATCTGAACACTCCTTTATGAACCACTGTGATCCAGTAGTTGATAGTAGATGTGCTTGCTACACAACCGCTGGCACACCTGGACGTCAAGTAGTTTGTTAAAGTCAGGGATGACGTAGTGGTACAGGCCATCTAGAGCACCTGGCTCTTGCATTACTGTGATGAAGATGGAGAGGAGGAGGACGTACGGCAGGAGTGCGGTCACATACACAGCCTGTTATCAGGAAAACAATATAATATTTTAGTCCTTAGATATTATAAAGGACGTCTTGTTACTATGGTTGTGGCATTTTTTGGTTGTATCCATACTAAAAAATCGTCACGTAAGTCAAAATTACAAAATGAAAGTGTATGTTCATTTGTTTCAGCCCACTGAAAATCGTACATATAACTGATACGGAGACATGAAAGTATTGTATCCGACTCGTGTTATTCCGGCACATGCCGAACAGTAACTCGTACCTCTTCCGGAAGGATTTCATGTTGGCGCATGAACGTCAGAACTACTTTAAACAAGAACAATAATTCTATTCCTGGTTCATTCTAATGGTACTTACCATCACCGTATATACTGTTTTTGCTTTTATTTATTTTAAAGAAATAAACCTCTTTGATACAACTAAAAGAAGGAAAAAATTTGTTGTTAACCACATATTCTAACGTAATTATTAACTGCTGTTCACCCTATATTTCTGAATGTATATTTCTAAATAGGTTTTAAGAATCACGAATGGGATTTGTTTTATTGAATACGCAAATAAATACTCTTTTTCAGCTACAACAAATACCAGAGCAAATACTCAAGAATCACCTTGACATATTTTTTCAAACTGAACATTCGTGTCACCATCCAGAAGGTGTCAGACTTGGGTTTGCTGAGATGTCTGAATAGCAATAGTGAATAGAGAAAGAGGTGGTACATGTTCATGTACAAGTCATAGTGCATAGCGAACAGATTTGTGTCATGTCAAACTTCAGGAGACTTTTTACATTAGAATTACCTTACCAGAAGACTTGATTCCACGAATTAAACATAGAAAGATTATTACATAGGATGCACACAGACATCCAACTATGTGCCACTGTACAGCTCCCACGTCCTCCAATTCAGTTGAGACATTCAGCACATTGTACCTGAAAGTCAGATATTGGCTAAGTTAGTTTGACATAAAGCCGTGCACGGGGCCGAGGCGATGCATGTGGTACTATGGATTCTGATGCGCTGTTTGGTTGCAACAGCGAATTTACCCCATAAGACTTCTGGCCAACCATGTTAAACTTTGAACAAGTATGTATCTGAAATATCTAAAAAAACAAATATTAGTATAAAGGCAGGTTTGTTATATACGCCCTGAGCAAAAATCATTTACATGTCATCCTGATTTGAATAATTTGTCAGTCAGATTCTTGCCTTTGAAAAAAAAAAGATTTTAAATACCGCTGAGTTAAATGAGATTCATAGCAATATCACCATGGGAAGAAAAGAAAAAAAGCTTGTGACGAGCTTGACATTGACCCGGGAATCACAATGACTCACCAAAGGAAGCTTATTATGTGTACACAGTAAACCTTAGGACCATCAATTCTAGTTGGTTGTAACCAAGTTCAATATTGGCATTTCGACTAACAAAATACAGCAGTTGGGCAGCCCCCAACCAAAACAACCGAAAACGAAAAAAATAAAATAAAAACCAAACAAACACGAAAATGGAACCCCCAAAAATAAACAAAGAACAACAACAAACAGAGAACAATATAACAAAACATATAGAGACGGACAGACAGACATATTTATTCAGTAATGTGGGCCTAACGGCCTATAATACAATTGTAAGATAAACTATTTTACAATGCCTCGTGATAATTTCATGTATAATGTTTAATCAGATGTTTCAAAAACAAAGCAACTTATTTCATGACATTAGAATCTTTCGAGTGCAATACATTTATAATGCTTTGTTCACATGGAGGCATGGCATTCAGCCGAATTTCATTATATGTTGTACATTGCATGTAAACATGGTATTCATCTTCAATCGCTCCAAAATTACAACTTATACAGATACAACTAGTTATACCATTGTCTTTATTTCTAGAAGATACAAGAGCAAGACAACACCAGTTCATAACCGTCGGTTTGTTTTACGCGTGCATACTAAGGCGGCTTACTGTGACACTGCCCTGAGTTATACCGTTGCAGGAGAAGGTATCAAAGCACGTACCATGTGTTCACTGCTCAATGAGAAAATAACCCACCGTCTCGATATTTTCTTATCTCAATGAAGACATTCAATTCATAATATCTTTCTCAGATTCAGACTTTGCATCTCCGTGTCATACTTTGCCAATTATCAAAATCTGACAATGTAATATAATATAGTATTTTGGTAAATTGACTTAAACAAGTACCATATAACTACTTGCGAGAGCTGCTAATTTTCTCAAGCCTAATCACCCAATTGAATCTTCAAAGCGGCTAATCTAGGCCATTTGTTTTCTGACTTTGACGTTTGTGATTGCAGACTGTATCTTTTCATTTATATGGTCTTCAAGGGACCTAATATGTCTTCTGTTTAAACGTGAGCATGTCAGTGATGTATATATAGCCCCATACACGTGCATGGGGTGTCATTCATGATATTGACAGTTTTCAATAAGGTCGATAAATCGCTGAAGACCATTAATTTGGACAAGTAGTAAGTGTTTGGTTCTAGCTGGGAATTTTTTGCTTGAAAATGAAACTCGTACATGTGCAAATTTCAAATCATACCCTAATCTTCTTTCAAGACCGATGACTGTTCAAACAACTATGGCCATAAGCTTAAGGAAGTGCAAGTGGTGATGCACTCTCAAAACATTCATTATTATCATATCAACATATATTGACTCAGATATCTCCCAATAGTGGCAATCGTAAATTAAAAATGAAGTCCCCAACTTTTTTGAAAGGTTTATATATCTTGAAGAATGTGTACGAAACGTTTGCTTTTAAGGAAAATATCATGTATATCTCACCGAAAAAATTCCTCAGCAGGCGTGCGAGCAGAAGTTCCATTTTCCCTACGCTCGGTTATGGTGATAGGTTCTGATGTGTTCCCTGCCATATTTGTCCCGTTACTGGTTGTATTCATGTCGTCAATACACAGGTCGGTGTTCCAGCTGTTGCCACAAGTTGTCCAGGGCAGGACGCTGGAGCAGGACTTCACCATGTAGTAGATGGACCAGGCCAGGAAGAGGGTGTAGTAGGGCATATACAAACAGTTTATCAATAGAGAGCAACACCTACCCCTAAATAGAGAAAAAAATGTTCGATCAGTCACCCAGTTGGACCACCTAGTGCCACTTGGCCACGTCTTACGACCAGAATATTTTGCTACTGACCATCTAGCCTGGAACAACTCATTTAAATAGCATCATCTTTATATTTTCTGTAAATTAGTTCCAATAGAAATTTGTGTTCAGACAGTAGAACATTTCCTCACTGTTACAAATGCTTACATAGCTAGCATACTGTTTCGTAGATGGTTAAGAAACTTCTAATGATGTTCATTCTATAAAAGAACCGTTTCTTGTCATTTAGTACCATTCAAAGAGCATGTATTAATGTCTCTAAACATTGGTGACATAAGAGAAAGAATCAGTAATGTTTGAACCATCACCTCTTCGCTCAGATACTGATCTTAAATAGACAATGAACATATGATGAGACACTGACCTTTAAGCAAAGGACAAAAGCTCCAAACATGCTTTGCGCCCTTTCAAGAGAACTCAGAGATCATCGACTCCAAGAAGAATGATGGGAAGCCAGTGATCAAAAGGAGCAAGATGAAGGGGATGAGGAAAGCTCCTGGAGAAAAGTGTAGTCCCATTTTTATGTAATGACGTAAGCTTCAAATTATCATATATATTCCTGAATGATTGTCAGCAATGTAGATAAAGTGTTGATGAAACTGTTTCTTTTCCTCTTTATTACACTCATGTATGAATGATATAACAGAGTATGAAATAGCCAAAAGTCCAGCCAGACATCAGGCCCAACATGGATTTAACCAGACCAAATGTGGTGAATTTACTCACAAGTATGGAACATCTCAAGTTTTTACCAGACCATCCGGCTGGTTAGCTGTAAAGTTAGACCGCCTCGGGCGGTCGGACGGGCCTTATTTCATACACTGTATAACATTGTTGTGTGAAAGATTAATCTGTATTTACCCTTGTATGGATCAAGATATCATGAGAAGCGTCGTACCAGGCGTACCAGAAATCATAAGAAATAGCCATCAATACAATACTGTTAAGATCCAATATATACATATAATATTCCTACCTCCACCGTTTCTGTTGCAGATATAGGGAAATCTCAGTATGTTGCCTAATGCAACACAGTAGCCAACAACTGTCAGCATGTAGTCCAGATGTCTGCTCCATGATTCTCTCTGTGGTGTGGGCTCACTTCTGTCTCCTCATTGACAATGCACCTCTGTCATGGGAACTCCTGCATCACTCTCCTCCTTGCTCGCCATGGCTTAAACTGATCTATCCATAAAGCAAACATGATATATACTAGCCACATAAAGAAACTGTGCATTGTCAAAATATTATCCCAGTTGATAAGTACGATAACAATGTCAAAGGTACATATAAACTTCAATGGAGGGATCATGAGACCATAACAAGTCGGGAGAATTTCAATTGAAAAGTCAATCACAATGACGTCACGAGTCCACAAGCGGGACAGGGGTCAAACGACCATGTCACAAGCTTAATAACGGGTATGTCCACCATCGGCATTGAGAACAGCAGTGCATCGACGACGCATAGAGCCTATCAAACGTGCAAGGAAGGTTTGTGGGATGTCACGCCAGATTCTCTCAAGTTCGGTTGCAAGGTCAAGGACATTATCTGTCGGATGAGGAAGACGGCGTCCCAAACATGCTCTATCGGGGAGAGATCCAGTGAATTTGCAGGCCAAGGCAGTAAGTCAACGTTGTGGTGTTGCAAGAAATCCATAGCAACCCTTGCCGTATGAGGGCGGGCATTGTCCTGTTGGAATGTTAACCCAGGGCCATGACGTTGCAGAAAAGGAATTGCCACAGGTCGAAAAATCTGATCCCTGTACCACACCAGTTGAGTTGCCCTGAACAATCACCAAAGGAGTTCTTTTGTTAGTTACATAATCTAAGACCAGTGGAATATATTTTGCAAGTAGTGATCCTCCGTCGTAGTAACTCTTGCATCATTGCCTCCCTGGCTTGGTATGGTTAATACTGATTGAATCTGTATGGCAAGATTAGAAAGTATGCACATTGATACTATTTTAACCCAAGAGATGTTACAGTTATTTGTGCAAACAAATGACTGCATCATTCTTGTCGTTCTGAATTACTGCAGATGAGAACTCACGTCTGTTTCTTACAGACAAGCAGTCTACTGCCTGCTTTTTGATGGCCATATGGCTCATAGTACAAACGACAAAGGACATCTTTGACTAAGTTTTATGTACGTGTTGAAAACCTATCATTGCAAAAATACAGGGGGTACTTAATTAAGTTCTTTGTGTATATAATTGATCAGTTAATCAGTCGAGATAAGAATCGAATCTGCTTCATATTCAGATCCATGTTGGTAACATATTTCAACAGCTCAAGCCTTTGGTGTCTGCAGAAGTACAATGTTCTTTCTTTTTAGACCTAGTATGTGGAAACAACTGTTTGACAATAGTTAAAACTTGCACAACCTCAGTATAACCTTCCCCACATGGGTACAATGAGTGAAGCCCATTTCTGGTGTCCCCCGCCGTGATATTGCTGGAATATTGCTAAAAGCGGCGTAAAACCAAACTCAGTCAGTCAGTCAGTCAGTATAACCTTCAAACAGTGTTATGTTAGACGATGTACACGTTTTATGCATCCGTGTTGTTTGATGATGTAATCCAGCTAGTGTCCATGCAGGTAGCAAAAACACAAAACGTCTCTAATATGGTGACCAACCTTTGGTGATCTATAGCCCAATTATATAAAAATATTGTTCTAAAGTAGTCATATATGAATTCTTTCGTACTAGTTCAGTATTTGCTAGTTATTGTTTTCTTCTTTTGTGAACAAGCTTTATAGTTTGAAAATTATGATTAATGCATAACTTGTTTTAGTTAAGTTAGGGCAGACATACTGCCGATGTGACCTACTACTACGTAATCACCCCAGAAAAGAAATCATCAATGATTAGTTAATTTTCCTGACATTTCCCACCCTGGTTAGGGTTGTCACTGATTATATTATAAAATTTATACAAATATATAAATAAAAATACAAGCGTCAATATTTTACTGTTCAAAACAATATATTATATAACTGGACTATAGATAGGCATCACATCAGTTACTGGTGACAATTTCCTTACGTCAAGAATGTCAAGAGAAGTTCGGAAAGTGCGGACAGATCTTCTTTGATCTTTATGGTGGACAGCAATTTAAAGCTTGCAGATTCTACCTCATACGAAGGAGCCATAGTCAAATTTTGAACAGATAAGTAATTTGACTAAACATTGACTATTTCTTATATAATTATTTGTTTGGTATCGCCATATCATTCGGTTTGTCGCTTGCATTGTTTAAATGAACGAAGAACTTTGATATGCAATATTTTTCTTTACTTAAGTTGGCGGAAATATATATTTGCCTTTTCCATCGCTTTCCTAGCTTGTCTACAATTGATATCAAACCATGGCTTCCGCGCACGTAGAGTTGTAGATGAGTTTGGTACACATCCATTAGCTTTTGCTTCAAAACAGCCAGGAAATACCTGAACGGGATGAACTACTTAACTGTAACATTCGGGTCTTGATGTACACATAATGATATAATACACTTGGAAAATGGACTGGTATTACAACTCCTATTATTTGTAAACCCAGTATGTCCATTTATATTCATATCATAACAAGGTTTGCTTGTATGATTATTATATCCTTCGGTCTCAACATACAGTCGAGCACCGTTGTCTCGATGTTCATGGGACCACGAAAAAATATCGTGTTATCCGGACTTCGAGACATCCGACCAGGGCATATCGTCACATATCACTATGAAAGAAAACAAAACGCTTCTCAGTATGTTTTGATTCGAAACTGTAATCGGTTATCAGTCGTGTTTAGTCGTAACAGTGAGTACTTCCTAATTATTTCCTTCTTAATTAATTAATTTCATAACAAACAAGTGACACCTTTAACTCAATTAGCCCTGATTAGTTTACACTACCGCATCCCTTTGATTCCTGCCGCACCGTGTGTAAACGTATGGAAACAACCTCAGTTCAAAGGGATACTTTCCCATGGAAGGTAGGTGAATATCGAATTTCTTTGCAAATATCGAGTTAAATGGGTAATTTGCTTGTTTGGACCATGAAATAATATCGAGATATCCGAAATATCGAGACAACCGTATCGAGTTAAAGAGCTTGAATAATGATAAATTATGAAGGATTTTGCCGGGACCGAGATGTTATATCGAGACAGCCGAGATATCGAGTTATCAGAGTTAGACACACCGGTGCTCGATTGTACATTGATTTATATCAAGTTTCAGTAAACTATTCCTACAGCAGAATAACATGGAAAATCCATTGCTTTCTTTGTTGATAAGCAAATATGGAGAATCCCCAACTGCAACTGCTAAGAAAGGTACGTTTGTGAACATGCGTGATGCTGGCATGCTATTGAGGGCCGTTGCCATTCTCAAACATCGACTATCAGCCGATTGGCCAGTAAACATCAGCAAACTAATGACGTTATGGACCGTCAGAGTTAAGGTCGACCACGAGTAGCAACTACTATGGAGGACGAAGACCCGTCTCAGAATCACAAGACTTCATCCGTTCATGTCAAGTGGTGTGTCAAAACAGAGTGGCTTCTCCACATCGTCGTTTTCCAACAGAACGGCCCGACACAGCTTAAAATCGGTATCTAGCCAGACGATCTATAAGAGGTAGATGGATGTCAGAGGTACTTTGATATCCCCAGAGCAAGCTCAACGATACTGGTATTTGACGTCATGGGGAACGGCATACTGTTCGGACGAAAGTCGATTTCTTTTGTTCATGACTGATGGCCGAGCTCATGTTTGCAGAAACACTGCATACCCACAACCGACCATCGTAGAGGGTGTACATTTTGGTGGGGGTTCATTGATGGTATTGACTGTTTCTCACATGACTGTAAACTCGACCTTGTGACGATCAGACAAAATCCAAATGGACAACAGTACATCACAGTACAACATTCTAGACAGGGTTGTTGTACCACATTTCGATGACCATCCTCTGAACACAGTGGGTCTTCATGGACGACAATGCTAGGCCACATCGTTCACGGTGACTTCGTAACGTCACGATGTGGTAGCATCTCTACCTTGCCCCGTCAGGAGTCAGATCTCAATCTCACGGAGCATGTTCGGAACATAACTGGTCGCAGAATACGCCAGGGAGATCCTTGATTCAAATATTTGATGCATTGCAACGAGCCCTACCTCAGGAATGGAACGCGATGCGGCAACGTCAACGTCAACGTCTTATATAGTCAAGAGGAGGGTTAGGGTGTTATTGCAGATGGTGGAGGTTATTTTGATTGGATGTGGGATGTGCCAGAAAATGATTCTGCTGGTTGTGTGGATTATCCAGGTGTACATAACTCTCACCCATTCTAAATCTGTTTGACAGTTTATCGAAGAAGTCTTGATTGAATACTTTTCGACATCAGTCTATGAATAAATCGAGTCCAAGAGAGCGAGATCTGTTCTCAGTGTGTGTGGCAGGGATAGGTATAGATGAAGGACATGTAGTATGACCAAGGTTTATTTATGTCCTATCAGGGAGTGTGAATCAGACTGACCGTATAACTTCACCGACCCATTACTGCGTTGATCATAGCTGATAATCTATATATGTTAGAAGTAGGCAATAGTGAGGCCTGTCAGCAAACTAGTGCACCTTTGGCAGTTTTGCTGGTTCTGTTTGGACCTTTTAAAACTGGTCTCGCCTATCCTTGTGAGACATTTTTAACGGAAAATATAAGGATGACGAAAGTACGTGTGTATTCAATAATTAGAACATGCATTATCAGTCGAATATTATCTAAGAATAAATTATTCATTATCATAGGTAGTGGGAACTATTTTTACACAATTAGTACACAATATATTCAGTACTGTTCACCCCACGACTTCACGTGTTTTACTTTACTTTTATAAACCAATCCCTTTGTTCCAATCCTGGCTTTGCATTTAAAGCATCTGTTTAATGTTTTACATTTCTTATTTTTTAGGAGAATCTTTTATATGCTATTGTTCAGCAGCATCAAAGTTTTTCATGAAGTGATTGGTTCACAGAAAAAAACAGAAATTATTTTTTAAAGTACATAGATTCATTTTCTAGTCTGATATAAACAGTACGTGGTCATCTTATCGTCATTGTTATTTGTGCATATTAATACAGATGTAATTAGTTCCATAGATCGACATCACCCAAACAGACATGGTGAATACAGACATTTGATTAACATCTGTATTTTAACATTTACACAAGATCGTACTTATTCCTTACAGATATAATATACATTATTTATACGTTATGTTTAGATCTTTCCCCTGACACCTGAGATTGAATTAGGTGTTAGATTATGTACTTATTGGGTGATAAATGCCCAATTTAGGAGCAAAAGAGTTATACTGCATTAGCGTATCATGGATATCATAACACTCATTGTGGACAACGACTCTTGAGGTAACATTCAGTTGTGAGTAAATACACATTTCCTGAAAATTGTATCAGGAACTCTTTAAGGACTTCAAAGTCCTTGAAATTACAACAAATATCACAATGCAGCTACAACTGTAACACTTGTCAGACTTACAGCTAAGATAATGAGGACGTTTATGTGTCTATTCATATGACATCACTCTGATCCTGACACAAGTTTTGGGAAACATTCACAATGCAGCGGAATACTAAACCAGAGAGTACTCAGGCTCTAGCTATTATAAAAGGGTGGAACACCTTTCGTGGCTGAATATCTCACATGCGTTGACGTGAATAGCATCATCATCATCATAACACATTGGTAATGCGGTGGTATCCATGCAGTCCATGCTCAAAGCGCAGATAGAATGTAACAAATTACACAGTTATAGTTGAAAAGGCTGTCCTAAACAAATGTGTTTTTAACTGAGATTTGAAAGTCACAAAGTCAGTACAGTCCCTGAGATTCTGTGGAAGTTTGTTCCAGGCCACAGGTGCTGCATAGGCAAGGGTTTGTTTCCATACTGCACTGTTCTAGTTTTAGGGACAAGAAGAATACTTTTATCTTGTGAACGGAGCGAACGAGAAGGATTGTACAGAGAAAGAAGACTGGATAAATATGATGGGGCAGTTCCAGACAGACAGCGGAAGACAAGGCAGAGAAGTTTATAAGAATAACAAAGATGATTAGACTTAGTTACATAAACATGAAACCCGGAAACGAATTCGACTTCACGGTCGTGCCCCTCGACTAAATCCAGCTGCTTGCTATTTTTTATTGATGTTCGAAAATAAAGTGCAAATTCTAACAAACAATGGATACTTATTGCCTGATGAAGCACAACCTTACTCCTGACATGAAGGAGGCCAGCAAAACACCTTGACCAGACAGTCAATAGCTAAGTCAAACCAAGTTACATGATAGCGCATTTACTGTTTTGTTGTCACTATTTCAAACTTTGATTTGACATGATTTACATGTGTAGAAGTGAAAGTGAGACGGCTGAACAATATAGAAACACGTAAAAAACCAAGTGTTCTTGCAGCCCAAAGGGCAACAGTTTTGATATTTCGGTCTAATTGTCTTTTGTAGTGAGTGAGTGAGTTTAGTTTTACGCCGCTTTTAGCAATATTCCTGCAGTATTACGCAGGGGACACCAGAAATGGGCTTCACACATTGTACCCATATGGGGAATCGAACTCGGGTCTTCAGTGTGACAAGAGAACGCCTTAACCACTAAGCTATCCCACCGCCCCCTTTCGTAGTGAGAACTGTCTACTTACCTATCTGCCAATATGTGATCTATTACGTTGTAGGACACAAGGCACAACCCATTTGTCAAACAACGCTGGTTTAAGATTTGGAACAGTAGGTGGTTAGGTGGGCTCCCTCAGTGGCATATGACTTATGTCAGGTTTACTTCGCATCTGGTCCCGACAGAATCATCAGCTGTACATATATATGATGTCGCCCTTGGCAACAGAGATATGCCTCCATCTCCCACCAGCGAACATGCAGCTTGGATTATATCAAGAAAAATCGATTGGCCTGGACAAGATGTAAATTTCATGAATGCAATATGAATATGAATACCCACATCTCTTTTGTATACACGCATATAATACATACATACATATAGATATTGGCATCACAAAGCAACATATAATATTGTTTCTTACATCAGCGTTTAGGAACTCTCATTACTAGCAGACTGAGGTATTGTGTGCACTGTCGTCCAATACCAACTGATACCAAACGAGGTAAAAACATCGAAATAAACAGTTGAAAAAGTAGAAAATTAACCAAGTTTCTGGTCAAATTCCGGTTTGGTATTCCGGGCGCGGGAACATATGGCACAAGTCAAAATAGTAAAATACATCGGACATAATTTTTGTCACTTACGCGTCTAGTTTGGAAATGTACATCACAAAACATGTGATAGGTATGTTGAGACCTTGAATGTTGTAACCTTGATCGGACAACTTCATAAGAGACATATGACGTTGGGAAATGTAAACACCAAAGGCTGTCAATTCTAATCACTGAACCTTTCTTACCAGACTTGACCGAGATTGTTTGGACCCAAAATACATAGAACAAGTGTGTGCCATAAAAGAAGAATGGAATATAACATATTTACTAGTTTTTATCTTTTGGCCACATAGAAGATTACCTTTTGTTTGATATGGTTTTTGGTCATGGTTACTTCTCAGAATCTTCTCCTAACTAGTATTAAGATATTTCAGGAGTGAGTGAGTTAACATTTTAAGTCACATTGGAAGTATTTTCGCTATATCGTGTCTAAATCAAGGTATATATTAATAATGAAAGGTAAATCATGACAGTCTGTCAACGAAGGGCATTAAAAAAAACTAGATTATCACAGATATAAATTTAAAACTAGTAATTTAATCTAAAACATTGTTACTATTGAGGACAACACAACATAACAATAGGCTATAGATTCCCAACATATTAAGGGAGATCACATACGAGGGACCACGGGGACTAACAGTACATTTGCTTCCTGCATGGACCCTAGCTGGGTTTACACAATCCTTTCAGATGTTAGCAATTTAGACAATCTAGCCATAAATTAAAATAACATGTATCCTTCGGTTAAAAATAGTACTAAGCTTAACTTTACTATAATTGTTTATAATTACGTACCCTCTCAGGAGGAAAATAATTTTACAGTACTTGGACCCCCTTAGAGGACACAGCCACTAACAACATCAGTTGTTAGTTTAAACTACTAATCATAAAACATTTATCTATTTCCACAACTGTAATCAAATTTTATCTAACAACTCTATTTCTTCTCAAAAGTCAATGATTAAATGAAAATGAACATTAGTGAAAAGTACCTTAGCTGTTTTGACATTGAAATATTATTCCTTGTGCTTGAAAAATCAATACAGCCAAAGACATTTCGGGAATATAGTAGATTTGAATGTATAGAGACAGACGATCACATCCACTGTCAGTATCAGTGGGTATTAGGGTTGGGAAGGGTCCAAAACTTCTACCCGGGTATCCCAGCCCCTATTACCCTACCCTACCCTGAAACCCGTTATGCTAATTCTTGACATAAAATTTATGAGAACTGGCAAATATATTCTTTAGTACGGAGGCTAAAATTTCGAGTTTTTCAATATCTAAACCATTTGTTATATTCAAAACAGGTGACTAACATATTACATTGTTTAATCTATTAGTCTCATGATCATAACGGGTCTGGGTTTTGAGACGGGTGATATTTTGAAAGGTGTCATGTGACTTTGAAGACAAGGTCATGGTCACCCAAGTCGACGGGTGTCTGTATAAACCCCCAATGTAGGCTGTTACCAAATTTGAATACATTGGGTACAACAGTGCATGAGATATCGCGTTAACAAGAATGATGACCTTGAAAATAATGTCAAGGTCACCCAAATCGACTGGTGTCTGTGTAATGCCCCAATGTAGGCTGTCACCAAATTCGAAGACATTGGGTACAACAGTGCATGAGATATCGCGTTAACAAGAGTTTGAAAAGTGGTCAAAGTGTCCTGGTGACGTTGAAAATAATGTCATGGTCACCCAAATCGACTGGTGACAGCGAAATTCCTAAATGTAAGCTGTCACCACATTTGAAGACATTGCACACCAGTTCATGAGATATCGCGTTAACAAGAATCAGGACGGACGTACGGACGCTGCTGAAGACATGGTCCCCTGTTCCGCGTTGCGGCGGGGGACAATGCTGTGTGTACTAGGTGGATATCATCTTTCATTACCTGATGATACTCCACAAATTCTGTCGTTTCCGATAGTTCTATACCCACATCGAATAATGATGCGATTTAGTCCTTGACAGCGGGGTCAGTCGGGTAGCCTCTTCGGCGGTTATAACGCTCCCTCTTCATGCCGAATACCTGAGTTCGATTCCCACATGGTACAGTGTATAGTGCACATTGCTGGTATCTCCCGCCGGGAGTGTTGGTATATTGCTAAAAGCGGTGTAAGACTCTCACTCTCTCTGTTCTATTGGCTATGATTCCACGTGAGACCCAAGCTTCAACTACGCCCACACAAACTACAGGCATTTTCACATAATTCTAAATGAAAAATATGACGACTCTCGAAGTTGTTACAACATGACCTAGCAGTCACACTATACGATTTTAAAATACATATTGCCAGATGTATTATGTGTATGTTTTGTGCTCATGTGTGCTTATATCCGGTTGCATGGGCGTATCAAAACAGGTTGTGAAGAGTTTAAACACCTACGCAAATACGCACACACGTACGCACACAATCATACAAATAACACGTTTGTACCTAACCCTTTGCACTTTCCTTTTCTGTTTAGTGACATTATTGACATTGTAACGAGCTCGAACTAGTAACCTATCAACATCCTTGTGCAGTAAGTTTCAAAAACAAGGTTTTGGAGAGGTAGGGGTGGAGAGAACACAAAAAATATGAATAGTATGCCTTTTTTCCGGTATTAATAATTTTAAATCTTCTTTGTCAAGAGTCCACATTATGCGAGTCACTGTTTGGTATCCTTGGACAAGGTTATTAACTCCTTTGATGACTGTGTTGAGAAATGCCAGGTCAGCATAGTTTATCCTCATGTGATGAAACAGAGAACAGGACATTGGTCAGGGAACGATCTTATATTAAGAACCCCATTAACTAACAGCACTATTACAGCTTATGCCGTGAATAGGACAAAAGAGAAGGTTGCGTGTTGCCCTGGATGGCGACAGTTATCGATCCACCATCAGAACTTAAATTGCACATGAAAGTCCCTATAAATCCTTCACAATGTAACACCTGCGTCAGTCATTATCTTGTATGTGAGTGAGTGAGTTAATAGTGAGTGAGTCAATATTTTTAGTCACATCGGCAATATTTCAGCCATATCGTGACTAAATCAAATTATAGATTTAGAGTAATTGGGAGTAAATATTAAAATCCTGTCAACGAAGGACAGTAAAACAACTAGATTAGCACAGATACAAATTTAAAACTAGTAATTAAATCTAGACATTTTAGCTACAGAGTACAATACAATATAAAAGGCTATATATTGCCAACAACTGAAAGTTGATCACCATTCTAGGGGCCATTGGGGCTTACAGTACATTTGCTTCCTACATGGCCCCTAGCTGGATTTACATCAGCCTTTCAGTGGTCAGCAATTGTCGACCAATGTAGCCATAAATTAAATAACAGAAATACTACAATTAAAACCTGGTACATATAACAATACTTGGAGAGACATGCACTTCCATACCCTCTCAGGGGGACAATAATTTTACAGTACTTCAACCCCCGTCGAGGGCACAGCCTTAATCAAACCCTGTTGATAAATATATCCTACCTAGTTATATAAAACTATTTATGTATATCATAATTTATGAATGATATCTAATTCTTTCAAGAAACCAAAGATGAAATGAGAATGAACGTAACTGAAAAGGTCCCTTGCTGTTTTGACACTGAAATATTTATCCCTTGTGATGGAAAAATCAACACAGTCAAGCAGGACATGCTTGACCGTGATTCTTTCATCTTGTATGTCCGCTTTTCCCAAACTCGACAATAGACAGAAAATGTGAAACGTCTGATCGCCAAAATGGGACTCGACATCATTACACTGAGTGTAATCCGTGAAGATCCGGGTTAGAATTGATCTTTAGCAACCCATGCTTGTCGTAAGAGTCGTAAGACTAACGGGATCGGGTGGCCAGGCTCGCTGACTTGGTCAAATCATGTCATCGTACCCCCAAGTGCGTAGATCGATACTCATGCTGTTGATTGTCTTGTGCAGACTCGATTATTTACGGACCACAGCCATGTAGTTAGAATATTGCAGAGTGTGGCGTAAAACTCAACTCACTCACTCTAACGAGTGTGCTCTAACTGTTCTAACATGGTCGTTATCTAAGTGTAGTATGTGACTGTATGAGTCACTTGCTGCCGAAACTAGTCACCTGCTTGAGTGAGTGAGTGAGTTAAAATTTAAAGTCACATCTTTAAGGCAATATTTAAGGTATAGCGTGACTAAAACTAGTTCTAAATTCATAATACGTTATATATAATATAGTCACCAACATTGAAAACGCACCACTTATAAAAGTTCGGATTACTAAAAGCACGTGTAAGGAATTGATATTTTTTAGTGGATAATAACAGATGGACGACTGACAAAAACAACAACACAGAAAAGACGCTCGTTCATTTAATTGTTCCACAGTCAGAAAGGATCAAACACACGTGGGGTCAATTCGAAAAGTCAATATCGCGTGTGACCACCCTTTGCATTGGCACATGCAGTACAACGTCTCCTCATTGAGTCAATAAGCTTCCTAATAGAGTTCTGGAGGATAGCATTCCACTTCTGCAATAATGCAGCCTCAAGTTCCCGGATGTTTCGCATCTGTTGTCGCCGCGAAAGACTTTGATCAATTTCGTCCCACAAGTGCTCAATGGGGGATACACCT